CACACACACACACACACACACACACACAATCAGTTTTAGGTATGTTTGTTTTTCCTCTTTCTCATGTTTTCTAAGTACTTTTTGTCTCTCTAGCCGAGCACCCTCTAGCAGTGCCAAACAGTCGGTGGTTCCTTGTTTGGAGTGCCAACCGCACTCTTAGGGGGGCCGCTCGGTTCGGGATGTCTGTTTTGCCTGTCGGTGATGACAGATGGTCGTTGGAGTGTCTCCCTGACTCAGCGGTGGTGGGAACCAACAGTCTGCGGGGTTCAATCGTGATGTGAGTAGGTCATGTGCTGCTTTGCTCCGTGTTGAATGTGTAGACTGTCTTGTCTGCGCTCTGCCGCTGCCTTGCTGCCCGTGCCGCTTGCTTCGCAGGTCGTCCTTGCTGATCTGCTGCTTTGCTGCCTATCCATGGGCCGTGCCTCCCGCGTCTTTTGTTCTCCTGGCTTGTGGTCTGGTGGCCCTATGGTGGTGCCCCGCGCTTCACTGCACGGTTGCTGAGCTGCTTGTTTGTGTGCCCTGTCGGCCTTCAGTGTCCTTCGCTTGCATGCCTTGTAGTTTGGTTGCCTTGTTGGTGATGCCTTGTGCTTCACTGCACGGTTGCCGAGCTGCTCGTCTGCTTGCCCTGTTGGCCTTCTGTGTCCTTTACTTGCTAGCGTGCCTTGTAGTCTGGTCGCCTTGCTGATGTTGCCTTGCGCTTCACCGCACGGTTGCCGAGCTGCTCGTTCGCTTGCCCTGTCGTCCCTTGCAGTTGTCTTTGGTGATAAGCAGTTGGGCTGCCTCTACTGCGTTGCCTGGTGCTCCGCAGGGTTGCTGCCCGCTGCTATGTCCCTCTTGGGGACAGTCTGCCTTCAACATGGGTCAAAGGGTTCATGACCCATACCATCAAATACGAGGATTCCGCAGATTGTTGAGGGTTCAGCCTCCTGATGAGTCGGTGCAACTCCGACGAAACAATCTTGTCATCATCAATTTATTATTATTTTTTCGGTCTTCCGATTTACTTGGGACTTGTATTTTTTCGGTTTGCCTGCCTTGGTGTGCTTGTGTTCCTGTTTCGTGTTCTTGCATGTTGTCTGCCCTCCCGCCTCCCCCGTGCCCTCCAGCCTATGCCTTGATGTCCTTTTGCTTGCTTTGCTCTGATGCTTTTCTTATCTGCCTGGTCTTGGCATCCTTTTGGGACTTTGCCTGCTGGTGTGCTTTCTGCCCTCCCGCCTCCCCCATGCCTTCTGTTTGGCACTTTGGAAAGCTGGTCATGGATAACCACCTTTGTACGAGGTAAGCTCCAGTGAGTTAGGAGTGGCAGCATGCAGTGTTAGTTTGGTTGCGGCAGGACGGGGTGTACCATGGGTTTCATGGGGTGCATGGTGAGTAAGCCATGGGATATATTGGACACGCACACACACACACACACTCACACACACACACACACACACACACACTCTTGGCGTCACGTATAGCAAACGGGCCAAAACATAAACACAGCATAGTCACTACCAAAACAAATAAAAATCCACAAAAAAGGCGAATTCAAGCTTCCTCGATAATCATTTTCAATACTGAATTCATTATCCGTAAATTAACATGCATGAAGGAATGGAGAGGGATTCGAACCCCCGATATTGTGTAATGTATCAGTTTTCAAAAGGGTCCTATGGAGAACACAAATTTAAATTATTTAATTGATCATTCACACGACGACCATCCAGGTCGCAGTTGCCAAGCCTCTGCCGACTTACTTACCCTTCCCCAATGACATGGATAGACAAACCACGGGCTGCGCACCCGTGTCCTTACGGTGAGTCAATTGGTTGTTGGAAGGGTGTTAACAGCCTGTGGGGTTGCGTTTAGACACCCGAGTCATTTTCATCGTTTCATTCTGGCGGTCGTTCGTATGGTGGCCAAATTGGTGGTTGGAAGGGTAGTGAATTTGCAGGGCGGGCAATTTTAGAGGGCAGGGCAGTTGTTGCACCATGCTGG